CTGGAAATACGATTATTCGTCCCTTTTTACAAATCTTAACTAGGCTCCCCGTGATCTAATAGGGGATTCAGATTTCAAACTGAAATAGATCCCGAATACGCGCCTGGAGGGCAATGGGCTGGACGCTCGTTCTGCGCTACACAAATACGTATGGTCACATAATCTATGGACGGGACTGGTCTATTCCCATACATTTTCAACTGAAGTAGCCACACAATGCACCGTCCCTTAAGGAAAACTCACATTGAAGGCGTTTTGTGACCTCTGTTATTGATAGCCTATGTCCGGAAGTTGGTAGCATACTGCTTTGCGTTAGTGGTATTTTTGTGGAGTACTCTCTGCTTGAAAAAGCATTGGGATCCTCAAACAATGTCTTCAGGGGCTGAATCAAGATCTCTCTCTCAGAGAGATCCGCACATTACCGCCAGAAGTATGTGGAGTTCGTTCTCATCAATCGGACCTTAGGTGAAAGTCACTTGTGTGTGGATTTCGAATCACATTGCGTGGCGTATTTTTCCGACTTATGGATACAAGGAAATCGATTATCTGAAGTGGCTAAATAAGGTAACCTCGCGTGGCGTATTTTTCCGACTTATGGATACAAGGAAATCGATTATCTGAAGTGGCTAAATAGGACAGGTAACCTCACCGGCACAGGAAAGAATCTTTGAGGTCATCCACGTGAATGTACATGACTTTAAAAAGCTTGCAACCCCTACTTCCAATGGTATGTTTCTCTCATCAGGTGCCGCCTTTCTGTAAAGCGTATCTTCTCACAAAATCCACTGCTATATGATTGGTACTGATAGACTCGAATGAAACTCAGTCCATTCTTCACGCCATAATCCTGGGAAGACATACAACCCATGTTTACTGCCTACCTTGCAGCTCTTAACTCCTGTACAGACGAAGCCAAACACATATTCACTCATCCAAAGACAGATTAAGTGTTAGAGGTCACTTGTTCGGAAATCCGTCCAAAGGAATGACCCATGACTTCTGTTCCTCCAGTTTTACTGTTGATTCTAATGTCATTTCCAAAACTCTTCCTATAGAAAATTGGGGTATCTTTGCCCGACTTTTCGCAA